AGACAGGGTCTCACTGTGTAGTTGAGACTGAACTGGAACTCACTATGTAGCCCAGGCTGGTCTCGAACTCACAGTGATCCTCCTGCCTCAGCCTCCCGAGTGCTGGGATCACAGGCGTGCGCCACCATGCCTGGCTTCAATTCCTAATTCTTAAACTACTGAGCTAAAACACTTGCCCACATTAATCCACCACGGACACACACAGTTAGGCACAGCCCTTGCAAAGGAAGTGCGTGCTGTGAGTCCGAGTCATCACCAGCTCGGCGGCTCGCAGCTTCCCTCTCAGGTTCAGCGCAGCCTGGTCCCTCCTCTGTAAAGCTCTGTTGCTATATTCCTTTGGGCCCTATATCTTTCCTTCTACCTTCCTTCCTGGCCTCTTTTTCTGGTCCCTGTCACTTTGGTTTCACTGTCCCACCCCATTTTCTATGTCCCTGCCTTGGTTCTGAGCCATGTTCTCCACTTGTCTGTTGGCTAGGTGCTTCCCTCTCTTCCAGGTCTATACTTTCTTTGCTCTTAAAAGAGTGGGGCCCAATTCCTCTGTGGTCCTACTTCCTCCACGGACCCACTTCCTCCATGACCCACTTCCTCTGTCGACCCACTTCCTCCATGGACCCACTTCCTCCACGGACCCACTTCGTCCGTGGACCCACTTCCTCTGTGGAGCCACTTCCTCCATGGACCCACATCCTCCATGACCCACTTCCTCTGTGGATCTGCTTCTCTGTGGCCCACATCCTCCACGGACCCACTTCCTTCACGGACCTACTTCCTCCACGGACCCACTTCCTCCGTGGACCTACTTCCTCCACAAACCCACTTCCTCCATGGACCCACTTCCTCCGTGGACCTACTTCCTCCATGACCCACTTCCTCTGTGGATCTGCTTCTCTGTGGCCCCACTTCCTCCGTGGACCCACTTCCTCTGTGAACCCACATCCTCCACGGACCCACTTCCTCCACGGACCTACTTCCTCCACGGACCCACTTCCTCCACGGACCCACTTCCTCCGTGGACCTACTTCCTCCACGGCCCCACTTCCTCCATGACCCACTTCCTCTGTGGATCTGCTTCTCTGTGGCCTCACTTCCTCCATGGACTAGAGGAAGAGGTTGAGGACAAGCCTGTCCCAGTGTGTCCCCTGCAGTGTCCGTGTCCCCTGTTGGAGAAGGTGTTGCTGCCACACCACCTCTGGGCTTCCACCTCTGCCTGGCCAAGGACAGCAGGGCCAAAGGGGTCCCAAGACACCGAACGCAGTCATCGGAAGTTCTGGGTGGTGCTCATTTGTGTGGGCTCTGCCTTGACAAAGAAAACATATCAAAGGAAGCAGTTTTCTAATCCACAGACTATGTAGTTGAAAAAATTCTGAAAGTACATTTTCTACAAAAGAAGGAAATAGTGCTCCAAAAGCAAACTCCAGAAATCTATTACTCGCTCTCTACCAAGATTTAAACAAATCTCTAGAATTGGATGAAATAAAGAAAATCCCATCACACCGAAGTCCTCGGTTCATTCTCCTGCTCTTTCTCCATGAAAAGTTCTGCTGCCATGAAATTTGCCCTGTTGCCTTTCTAAGCTCCTGTTCTCTGGTGGGTCCCGGCTCTACTCTGGCTGTTCTCATCCGGGGTCACCGCCCAGTGGACACGGAGGGATGGCGCCTCTCCGCCTGGGGCAGAACGACACCCCTGGGCAAACCACCGCGTGGGGACAAAGCACGGAAGAGACCAGCGAGGAGCGCTGGTCATTCAGGGACGCAGCTGAGACTGCAAACTGTCCAGTGTGTCACAGGCTGGGCAGGGAAGGCCCGAGTTAGCCACGCACACAGACTTACTGAAAACGATTTCTGAGAATCAGCACACAAGGAGGTGGAGGGAGCCACGCGCTGCGCTTGTTCTTACGGAGCCGTCTGCTGCTGAGTGACCCAGTTCACAGGTTGCTCTTGGTTTACAAACTGGTATATCACATAAGGGGCTCGGGACGTATTTGCAGAAAAGATAAATTAGGAATCGATTTACAACAGCTAAACTGTAAGGCACTCAGAGCTCAAAATGCACTTCGTTTCTTGTAGGGTTAGTTTTATAAATGCTAATTGCCTTCTTCAATAATCTCATGAAAGCTTAGAATGGTTTATAGACCTATGTCGCTGGGCCAGGTGGTTCTAGACTTTTTTTATCTCTCTCTCTCTCTCTCTGAGAGATCTTGCTATGTGGCCCAGGCTGGTCTTGAGTTCCGGGGCTCAAGAAATCCTCCTGCTTTAGCCTCCCAAGAAGCTGGTTGATAGGTCTGCACAAGTACACCCGGCCCTCTGCTTTATAATACATATAGTTAGTGTGTTCCATAGTTTTCCCAGTACGGTCTAAGACAGTGCGCTTCAATCAAAGAATACTTCTGTGGTGAAGCGTGCAACTGCTCACGCTAAGTAAAACTAAGTGAAGACCAGGCTCATATCCATCGAAATGAGGCCGCTGCCCCTCCCATCAATGCTGGCTCCCGAGGTTGGGTTTTCAGAGTCATGAGTTTCAGCTGTGGACGGGGACGATGCGATCTCAGGGCCTGGCCATGACGCTGCTGTGCTGAGACCCCTCGATGGGGTCAGGAAAGCACGCTTTCATCCTCTGCCTGGGACCCTGCAAGGGGGTCGGGGGCCCACTCTCTCCTCTCTAGAAAACCTTTTGAGAGTCTGGCCATAGCTATGGGTTTTCCCCCTAGAAAAGTTAACAAATGAAGAGACAGAAAAATAAAACAAAACAAAACAAAACAACCCAAAACAACAACAAAAAATGGGTTTGGTGGTGCAGGGCTGTAATTCCATCACTCTGGAGGCTGAGGCAGGAGGATTGCTGCAAGTTCAAGGGCAGCCTGGGCTGCACAGTGAGACCCTGCCTCAAAAAAAGAAAAAAAGCAAAATCCAAATAGAGTAAATAAAAGAAAAACACATACATTTTCACGGGGTCACAGACACTTGTCTTAGAAGAAGCCTGCTCCACAGATAGGAGCAGGGGGATGGAGTCTGCAGATCCCTGCAGTGGTACGCAGAGACACAGAGCGTCCTGGGCCGCCTGGCACGGGGACAAAGCCACTGGGTAACTGTGACAGGGCCGGCCCTAAGAGAGCAGGCTGTACCGTGTCCCGTGGCTGCCGGGGGTGCAGAGGACTCCTGCTGGGTGGGGGTGGCCGTCAGGGGCGTCCCCAGCAGCGGCCAGTCTGGTGACACCACGGACAGCCTTTGGAACCATCTCTGCTGTCTCTGCTGCGGGCCTCCCCGGATTGAAGACCATCCCCTCGGGCAGTCGAGGGGCGTTTGCATCTCCCCGACACCTCAAGTCCGGGTTCCTCAGCCGCGAGGAGAGGCCAGAAGCCTGCAGGTTCCAGGCTCCGGTCGCCACTCTGTGGGGCGGCCACCTGTGGACGGCAAAGGAGCCCCGCGAGGACCTGGCCCCCCGTTGCAGGTCTTCCTGTTGCGGTGCATTTGTCCTTAGTCTTCTCTATCCCCGAATTCCCCCCGCGCAAGCTCACCTACAGTGCACAGCTGCAATATGGAGAATCAGTAAAACCAAATGCAGACCGTCGCAAAGTATGAGCACCTTAAACGACAGCCTCATGGGCCCAGGAACTGAGCTTCAGCTCCGACGTTTTTGCTTCTTACCCTTGGGTGGGGCGAGTTTGGAAGCGTTGGGCTTTTTCTTCTCTTTCACGCCCAGCTGCTCCACATAGTTTCTGTTTGCGGCTGGGTGGGAGCACAGGGAGATGAAATCCTCGGAGTAGTCGCAGTTAGAATGTAGGCTCCCGCAGGAGCACTGGGACCGGCTGTAGTCCACGCTGCCACTGGACCGCCTGCTGCTGGGGGGCTGGCCGCCGGTCTCCAGGGCCACTCCCACGAAGGGCTCATCTGTGTGGGGTTTTGTTGTATCAGCCATGGACATAGCACGCAACCTGAAAAAAAAAAAAAAGGAAAGTATTTTTAGCTAGGCGTGGTGGCGCACACCTCTAATCCCAGCGCTTGGGAGGCTGAGGCAGGAGGATTGCCATAAATTCAGCCTGGGCTACACAGCAAGTCCCTGTCTCAAACCAAACAACCATTCAACCATACAACCCCCCCCCAAAAAAAAAACCCTCCAACCAACCAAACAAAAAACTCACCAAAAAGTATTTTTAAAGAAGTTCATGTTTATTTTAAAAGAATTTTATTAGTCCACATTTATAGTACACAAAGACCACATTCCTGTAGGGAATTGGTACATGCACATTACACGTCTTCATTTTTTTATGTCCCCTTCCCCTGCCCTCTCCTCCACCATCTCTTGGTCCCCTTCCCATTTGCAAAAGATTTATCTCCCCATTTTCTGCTATGAAAATATTTTTGAATTTCCCGCTCCCGACATTACAACAAACCCATGCTGTTTATATTTCCTTTATCTGTAATGGAGAACTAGGAAGGCGAAACCACACATTATCTTGAAGCATTTTCAGGAGGAATTTCAGTTTGGTTTTCATATTATTTCTACATGAAATACAAAACCTCTGAGAGCAAACTTTGGTAAGAGCAAGTTAAAAAACAAGTGCACACCAGCGATCCCAGCGCTTGGGAGGCTGAGGCAGGAGGATCGCTGTGAGTTCAAAAACAACTTGGGCTACAGAGGGAGGCCCTGAAGCAATTTATGAATTAGTGGATTACATTCTCATTTCTAAAGGCCTGTTATTGCTTGGGATATTTTGCCTCCATTAGGGAGAGGTGTGGACAGCTGGTGTGAAATGCAACATTTGTGAAATTGATACTGATTCCTTGGAGATATGCCCTCTCCTTCTGGAAGGATGGTGGCCCCTACTTTTGAGGTCAGACCCAGAATACAATGTAACCGATCTAGTTTTATTTATTTATTTATTTTTTTGAGTGGATGATTTTAACTCATTAAGACCCTTCTATGTCCTTGAACTATGTTTCCCTAACTTGAAGACGTGCTACAGCAAACACATACATTTGGTTTCTTCAGTCTTGGCTATCTCTTATACAAAGGCGAAACCGAGGTACAATAAATTAGCATCATAATTGTCTACAGTTGGAACCATGATATGCAATATAAATAAACTATTCAAAAGCCAGAAACATTTATGAAAAAATTAAGGGGCTAAGGAGATAACTTATTTTTTACAGTTTCTACAAGTGACTGTGCTGCTGATAATCTCAAAAAATGAAAGTCTAGATGAGATTCCCGTTTATGATTTTAGTGTCTCACGACATACAATAATTAAGTACTGTTAAAAACAATTACCAATCAGAAAAATAACATTAAAGAAATCACTGCTTTTGCTATTTTGTAATATCACACCCCCCCAGGACCTAAAGAATGTAAATACTATATTTTTTTACTTTGAAGTATTAATACTTTACTTTAAACAAACGTCTTTACTTTAATCAAACGTCGATCCACATCTGCACAGCTACCTTTTAGAATCATGAAATAAGGCAAGACTTTCAGACCTGTGGCATTGCGTGTTAGTAATACTGACAGCGTTGTTCAGAGTTCTTTTGTAATTCTTTTGTTTGTTTGTTTTGGATTTTTGAGACAGGGCCTCACTATGTATTTGAGACTGACCTGGAACTCACTATGTAGCCCAGGCTGGTCTCGAACTCACAGAGATCCTCCTGCCTCAGGCTCCCGTGCTGGGATTTTTGTTTTGGATTTTTGAGACAGGGCCTCACTATGTATTTGAGACTGACCTGGAACTCACTATGTAGCCCAGGCTGGTCTCGAACTCACAGAGATCCTCCTGCCTCAGGCTCCCCAGTGCTGGGATTACAGGCATGCACCACCACACCGGGGTTCCAACTGATCTAGTTTTAAAGAGTATTCTAGAACCAAAAGAGACAATGGGTCCTGCTGGTTAGGTATCACAAGTTGACAGAGAAGTGATTCTGAGCACTGTGTACACATTCATGTGTTTGGGGTAGCTCATCTTACGTGAAGGGATCTGCCACGTGGAAAATAACATTTCTTTTCTTTTTCTTTTTCTTTTTTTTGGTACCAGGGATTGAACTCGCAAGGCAGGCGTGCACCACTGAGCTAAATCCCCAGCCCCGGAAAATGGCATTTCTTTTAAAAAATAAATAACCGTGCTTTTAGCTATACTAAAAACAAACTTTTGTAAATATTGGGCTTGGAAAAACCAAAACAAAGCTTTTGTCTAATATTATAGATTTAACTATCAAGGTGAAAAATCAAAGTCATATTTGGGGGCTGAATCACAGCGAAGTGGACGTGAAAGAAATATGTTTAGCAGCTAAAATGAAAATAAACTTGGAGAGTGAGATCCCAGGTTCTAACCAGGAACATAGGGTAGCACATAATTGAGGATCCTTGAAACCAAAGACTGCCTGAAAACTTAACTTAATGAAGACTCACACGGTCTCACAGTTCTTTAATTCATTTGCTTTAAGTTAAGTACAATTTAAAGTTATTTATTTATTTAGTACTGGGGATTGAACTCAGGACCTTTCATTTGCAAGGCAGGCGCATTGCCACTGAGCTAAATCCCCAGCCCTAGAAGTAATTTAAACACAGTAGCTCTTTGTAGATCATTGGCTAAAACAACTACCCTGTTTTTTCTCCCTAGGATCTTTTTTTTTTTTTTTTTTTTGTACCGGGGATTGAACTTGGGACCTTGTGCTTGTGAGGCTGGCGGTGGAACCAGTGAGCTAAATCCCTGGCCCCTCTCCTTAGGATCTTAAACCCAGTGAAAAAAATGCTGCATTTTACTTCTACTTTATTTAAGTTATTTATTTATTGATACTGGGCTGGAACAGTAGTATTAAAGTACTGGTCTAACGAAATAATCCGTGTGGCGAGCAAGGCTAAAGGACAATGTCTTTTCTGTTCATCCCACACAGATTGTCCCGAGGTGGCGCCTGCGGCGTTAGACCTGGCTTCTCATTTGACCTGAGGATGCCTTGGGAGAGAGGGTGGCTGCTAAATACAACCCCGAACCCTACAGTCTCGTAGGACAGTTATATGGTGTCCTTGACAAATTCAGTGAGGTTAAAAAGTTTAAAAACCGACTACAGTAAAAGACATCACCATGAATCGCCTTCAGAACTCTCCTGCTGAGACTTCCAACATCCCATCACCCTTGCCACTTCCTGCAGCCGCTCTGGAGCCTTTCTTCCTGAGCGTTTGTAGCTGTGCTGTCCTGACTGCCTCGATGTTTCCCTTTCACGGTCACCTAGACTGTGCGGCAGAGCCCGAAGTCACACGGAGCCAGGTCTGCTCAACGAGGTGGCTGAAGACGCGGCGTTTTTAGGAGCTGCCTTTCTGTCGGCGCTCAGCAGAGCATTCACTGTGTTTTTTATCACGCCTCATAAAGACATCCAGGAAAGAGGACTTCAGAACTGTGTAGAAAGTGGCAGGAGTGACAGAATGTGGGCGATTGAAGTGAGGGGGAATATTGTGAGGGGGGTACAGGGCGATGTGTCTTTTCGCTGCAATAAAATGTTAAAAATCTTAAACATTCATCACGTATGTTGATCACTCTGTATCTCCGAGATTGTTCAAGACAGCTAACAAACAGCAGAGCCCTCGTCCTTGATAATTTACAAACAGATTCTGAAGGACACAAACTTCCAGTACTTTCCATAAGCCCTCTTAGCTGTCTAAAGGGAGAATTTAAAATGGAAGCAACAGGAAGTCACACACAAGAAGGATCCCAAGCCAGGCGTGCTGGTGCACACCTGTAATCCCAGCACCCAGGAAGCTGAGACAGGAGGATCCCTGGGAGCTGGAGGCCAGCCTGGACTAAGTGGTGAGGAGAGGGAGGGGAGAGAGAGAGAGATAGAGGGAGAGAGAGAGAGAGAGAGAGAGAGAGAGAGAGAGAGAGAGAGAGAGAGAGCCTAAATATATATTCTTGATAAAATTAAAAAGCAGAGGGTTTGGCATTCCTTCCTAATGCTACTGCATTACAGCACACTAAGTTCTCTTCCACAGCAGCCTGCTTCCACAGCAGATTAAAACAAACCCTCTCCTGCAGGTGGATTTTAAAGGGTTATTTTTTTCATTTCATTCTCAATGCTCAATTCTTTTATTTTACCAAGAATGGAAAAGAAGAATTAGTTGTATCAGATCCTTCCCAACAGGGTCGAATCTCCCCCACCGCCGTCTCTCTCCTGGGAGATTTGATTTCTGGCTGCATCTGTGGTGGAGACCACCCTGAGCAAGCTACACATTCATAAATCAGCTTTTCATGTTAAAAGTCTGAGCCTGCCTATGGACCCGCGAAGGCTCGCCTGAAGAGCCCGCCGTCGGGGTGTGGGAACAGAACTCCCACGGGTCACAGAGGAGGTCTCAGTGAGCCGCGACGCCGTGACGTCTTGGAGGGCAGGACGGTGGTGCAGCTAAGGGCAGCGTGACTCATACAGAAAGCTCCTCTAGAGGCAGAAATCAACCCTTGGGAAGAAACAGGTTCCTGTTAATGAGTGGTTCGTTCCTGCCAGAACGTCTCGTGCCCTTGCTGCTGGGACCCTGCTCGAGTCAGCGCCCCCCACGGCACTGTCCCTGCACCGCCCCCACCCCCTCTAGGGGCTGTGTGTTCAGTAAACAGAGGTGAGCTCAGGAGACGGCCTCTCCCCTGACAAGAGCGCTGACCATCCTGGGCCCCCACTGACGTGGAAGAAGTCTTGTCTTTTGTTACCCTGCCGCCGCCGTGCCCTTGGTCAGGGGACTGGCAGTTCGCACAGCTTCCAGTACATCTTTCCCACTCCGTTCTTCCTCTGTGCTATGAAACACATTACACGGTCCATCTGCTGCCAGTAAGCATCCCAGCCCGAGCCATTTTAGGAGTAATTTGGCATCACGCTCAATACGGACCACTGCTGTGCATAGGCTGTGCCAACAGTTTCTACACTGGTGGGTCACTGGTGGTTAAGGAACCTTCTCTGCTTTCCA